CATCTCTCTCTCTCTCTCTCTCTCTCTCTCTCTCTCTCTCTCTCTCTCTCTCTCTCTCCAACGCGCGTGTCGGGCAACATGATGTACAGTCCTGGGGCTTACTGAGCTTGGTGAAGGAGCTACCAGTTTTGAGGCGCATCTTATCATTATTTTGATCTGTTTTATAATAACTCAATGTGCACACATCTTCTCTTTAACGTTTCTTCCTGGCTTTTATCCCTTTCGTGTTTTTTAAATCTTTTTTTATCACTTGTTTCTCTGCTGTCTATCTGTCCTTTTCCCCGTTCCCTTTTCCCCTTATCCAAACCCTACTCGTTACATACATTTTTTGGGGGGGTTACATGAAGAGCATTTTGGCAGAAAGAATTATCAGTGGCGTCTATGGAGTAATGGTTCAGGTCATCACGTAGCCGCTGCGCACTGGAACCGCGAGTTCTATTTTTGCCGAGGGAAGGTATTTGATTGAGAATCTGTTTGTGTCGCATACACAGCCTGGGTTTGATTTGATTATCAGAGTTGAGGCAACATGCTTCTTTTTCCCTGTAAGTTCTGACAGTAAGGGTGTGGATTAATTACATCGAAGGGGAACTCTTTGCTCTAAGAGACTGTATAATTCGCCTCCTCTCCCCCCCCCCTTTTCCCCTTCTACACACACGCTTTCGCCCTGCACCTCAAAGATTTGTTGTGCGGGTTTTTGTTGCTGTTGTTGTTTTTGTAAGTTTCTGTTTACACACCTCATGGCATGTCATTCTGTCTCTCTCTCTCTCTCTCTCTCTCTCTCTCTCTCTCTCTCTCTCTCTCTCTCTCTCTCTCTCTCTCTCGCTCTCTGTCTGTCTCTCCCTACCCCACCCTTCATGTCATGATTCCTGTTTCTCCTTGTTTTGATCTGTCTTCTCTCTCGCTGTCCTTCCTATTGTCTCTTGTATGTCTTCCATATACCCACAGCATGGTGCCACCCCCCACCCCCCAAACCACCACCCTTTCCCCCTTTATTGCCCGTCAGATAACTCACCCAAATTATCACCACAGTCTCAGACCGTACAACAGAGCGCACAGCAATTCTCTGCTTGGCCAGTCACATGACGCCGTTTGTCCCAGATAGGCGAATCAAATGGCGCCGTTTACCTAAGCTTGGCCAATCAGATGACCCCGTTTCTTTGTCTGCCCCGGCCACAGAATTCTGCACTAGCCTAGGCCTTAGACTACTAAGACTTTGATTCTATAGAATTTTGTGGCCCTGGCAGATGTGAGCGGCTTCCTGTGCCGTCGTCTGTCAAGCTACGTCTGCTTCTAGACTGCTGGGTGCGCGGTGTACGTCTGACGCCCTGTGTTGGCCAAACCCCTTTTTATAGCAGCATGGCCTTCTGCGTCTTGACAGACGATTTTGAAGCACTGGGTGTCAGTTTTTCCTTTATGAAGCGCCCTATTATAAACTGACTGCTGGTTTTTGGATGGCGCCGCTCTTTGGTCCCACTTCTTTACTTTCACTCTGTATTTCCTGTCGTGTCTTACTTTTTCTCCAGCACGAAATGATAATTATTGTGTCGTGCTTTTCTTTATTCAAACAAAACATACAAACAAACAGAAATGACTATTTGAGAGGGGTGGCTGCCTTTTGCCATTGTCGTGGAGGGAGATTTGTGGGTGCTGCTTTACTTTCCTTCAGTTCTTTCTGCACTGTGCCTTTTCCCTGCTCTTAACCCAAATCGTGGGTTTGAATCCCGCCAAAGACTTGATGTTGTGTCTTTGAGAAAGGCACTTTGCATGAATTTTTCTCACTTCACCCAAGTGAAAATGAGTACCCAGCTATAGACAGCGAAAGATCTTGTCCGTTTAGTAAGCCCAGCTGGCACTGTATATTTCCCAGAGGCCAAAACCGTTTTTGAGTCATTTTCTTTGGTATGCTTGGGTAATGAAAGTTCTAAAGTGCTCAGAGCATGCTTTGGAGTGTGTATATAAGCTATATAAATGCAATTATTGTTATTATTGTTATTACAAATACCCATTATCATGTCTATATGCTTCTCTTGTACTTCTCAGACGAAAGTGTTGAGTACGTCAGTGAAGACAGGGTTATAGGTGTTACTTCTTTATTATTACTTGTAGCATTCAACAGACTTGAGTTCCATTCATGTATGAGGACCTCTTAGTACCATCATTTATCTCCATCTGTTTCATGGGATGTGCATCCCACTCAGCCCCGGTTGGCCCTGGCAGGCAGGATCGAAGACAGGTTATGAATAAATAATGAATCCCCATATTCGAGGCTTTTTTGTCTTCAAATCAAAAACCTCGATCTGTTTGCTGGAATGCTGTCTCCAGCTCAGCATGAGTTGACTCTGACAGAAGAGGCCACAGAGCCAGCTTCTGAGAGGATCCAAATTCTGTCAATGTGGACGTAAAATAACAGGATTTATTTTAGAGCAACATTGAAACAAATTTGGCTGGATGATGTTAAAGAGGCTCCAAAAGAATAACATATCAACAACAGAAGCCACCCACCTTTCCTTTGTCTGAAAAATTAACCTCCCTGCAACATCTAACGGTGTGGTTAACAGATGTTCTGGTGTGATTTGCTTTTTCTCTCCTATCAAAATCTATCAACCTGATCTCTCCTCCTTCTATTTTGTTTGTTACTCTCTTGTAACACGTCAGTTTTGGGCATTTATATGACCTTATTGTGTTGCAAGTGCTGTAAAACTTTTACTAAACTAACAATACAAAAGGAAAGCCTCCCGGGGCAGTGCCACTGACTGTAGTGTCTTTAGGCCAATCCCAAAGGGGGGACATTTCTGGTTCAAGCACAGTAGAATTGTAAATGGGCTGATTCAT